GCATAGGTATTGTTGGGCTATTAGCCAACGTAGTCCAAGCTTCATGAGATGTTGTACCTTTGCAGGCACTGCTGGCTAGAAATTATAAGATAGAATAGGTATTGTGGCCGTTTGAGTGGTGATGGAAAGGGATGGGAAGAGATCAAATCCAGTAAGGTGTAATTGTTGATTGTGTTTGGAGTTATTTTTATTTTTTATATTTTTTGAGAAAGTAAAAATGAAAACGAAACAGAAATGACGTTTGACAAAATTAAAGATAAAAAATAAAAATAAAAATAATTATTTAGTTTAGTATAAAATAAAAGAGAAATAAAAAATAACTTTTAGTCGTTTTTTATTTTTTATTTCCGTTTTCTTTTATCTCGAATAGAGAGAGATATTAATGAATTTTTTTATATTGAAATAATCTTTCAATAAAACTATTAAATGCATTTTTAAAAATAATTTTTATTTAAAATTAAAAACATTTTTATTTTTATTTTTATATAAAAAAAATAAAATTATTTTAAAATAAATTTCAAACCTACTCTAAATGTCATCGCTTTTAGAAATGGAGGAGTGCTTAAAGCAAACTTTATTTTATACTCACTTTTGGATGGTATCTTATACTTACGACAAGTGTCAATTCTACTTTTTCAACTAAACTCATTTAATAAGAACCCGTTTTTTTTTTGTTTTTTGTTTTTTTCACGTTTACTAGTTGAGTACATAGGAAAAATTTTATAAGTTTGATTCTTAGAAGACAAATCCTTTAATTGGAACAATATATATATATATTTTAAAAAATCACATACAATTGATGTATGAAAAAAAAAAAGCAATAAGCGAATTAACAATCTTCACGAAAAACTTTTAAAAGTTCTATTTTGTTTCTTACTCTTTTTTTTTTATTTAAAAAAAATTAACATTATTATAATTACTAAAAGTTTTTTCTTGTCTTCAACCAAAGCAACTTAGCTGATTGGTTAGCTGTACTAGATTGAATGCGGAATTGGTGGCCGACTGCTGAGCATTGAATACTGATCCCATTTGTATGAAATCCTAGACTGTCGAACAATGTCGCAGTGCTGCCGATCTCAAGGGAGGTGTCACGTGACCTAGTCACGTGATTTGTAAGCTTAGGCTCGCTAATTGAACTGTTAACCCACGTTAGAATGCTTCCATTATTCCCTTTTGTCCCCATGTGAGCTGGGTAGATAAGAACACTGTCTCATCGATGTCTGGTATGTATAACGAAAACGTTAATAAAATCTAAGGACTTGGGGAGTCTGATGTGATACATAAATTAGTTAGGCATGTAAAATATGGGACTTACACCAACTAGTACGGATGTGTGCAGGTGTGGAGTAGGAAAAATAAGTCAAAGACAAAATATATACTAAAATTATTGAAAATTTTGAGAAAGGGAATAAATATAAAATTTCAAAATTTCAGAGCGATACAGATTCAATCAAATTTAATGTATAAAATTAAAAGAAAAAAACCCTAGATGGAGTGGTCACCTACCTTCAACTCTAGTCTCTAAAATGACTTCTTCTTTGAATATATGCAGTCCTCTCACGCTCCCTCCTTTTTATTTTTGGAATTTTAGATGATAATATGGTAAAATTAAGAGTGGAAGAATTAAAAAAATTGGCCAGAATTCATATATGATATAGAGTAGAGTGTCACGGCCTGATTGTTTTACAATGCGGCCGTGCGGCACTTAGCACTTCCTTGATGCTAAGTCAGTTTGCTAAGTCAGCTTTACTAACCCCAAAACTCAAGAAAATGGCTAAGGAAAGAGCAAGAGAATAAAGAAAAAGAAAACTATAAGGTTCCTCTTCTCTGGTACGCTAATATACCATTAGGTCAAGTTTTCTATCAAGAGATTTGTATAAAATCACGTAAAAATTAAAAAAAAATATGCATATATTTAACGGTTAAGAAAACCTAACCTACCGGTACATCAAACATATCAAAAAATCTCTCAAACTTTAATGAAGGAAAGCTTTACTAACTTAAAAAAAGGGGAACAAATGAAGAATTTTTCTTGGATGGATCAATGGGGTTTCCATCTATGGGAGTTGGTTCTAAATGAGGACCCCTCCTCCCATTTATAGGCCAATAGACCTCCTAATAAATTATCTAGGATTTTTTTTAGAATTTTACAAGTCTAAAAACTTTTACAAACTATTAGTATGCTACATTCATCTAAAGGTTTTTAGAAAACTCCAATGGCTTCCTGTCTCTGCCAAAGAGCTTTAGAGACTTCCAGATATTTTTAGATTCTTCTAAAGTCTCCCAAATCTTGACAGAGTCTTCTAGAATATTACAAAACTTTCTAGAAAGGACTTGGTTTCTCTGGGGTGTTTTAGAGTATTCCACTTGATTTCAATTCTTAAAGAATACTCTAAACAATCTTAAAGCCTTGAAACGAGCCACTTATATTGTAGTGAGGCAAAAATGTGCGGTCCGTGATAAGAGGGAGAGGCATAAATTGTCAGGTATTTTGAACCATCATTTTTTCCCGAATACTATTGCGTCGGCAAAACTACGAGATAAATTAGGCACAATACGGTGTACTATAAGTTGATCAACTCTTTCCAGACGGAATGCTGCATCTAGAAAAAAGTAAAGTAATAGCTCTCTTTTAATGTATTGGTACGTAAGGGTGCTTCCCGCCAGTCCTTTCTCGACTTACCGATTTGAAGTGTAATTAAGGTTTTTTATGCCCCGTTCATTTCGCTGATTTGAGTTTAGAATTCGAGTTTTGCTACAGTAAAAAACTCTCACAAACAATCACATCTAACTTTTTTGCTACAGTAAAAAGCTCTCACATAAAATCACATCTCAACTCGAATTAAAAACTCGAATCAGCGAACTAAACGGACCCTTAGAAAGTTGAAGTGTAATAAATTAGAAATTGTAAAGGTGAGTACCCAAGTTAAGATATGGTGCAACATTTAGTGGGATATTGTGATGTTTTAATAATAAACCATATACATGTATCGTTTTCGGTCTTTATTATTGGGGTATCGTTTTCGGTCTCTAGTAGGGTCATAAAAAAATAAATTACCGATAGTTTTTTATTTTCAATTATCAAATTTGAATAAGAAACTGTATGGCATACCTTTTTAGTCTTATGTGGGTTTGACCTGATCGAACTATTAAAAATTAACACTACCGGTAGATCAGACCTACCAGAGAAACTCAAAAAAAAAAAAAACTCTTTTTTTCTTGGACTTTATCTTGTAAGAGGCCTACCAATACTGTCAGTTTCTAACCATTAAATCTGATTAAAATCATATCAGATTAAAAAAATATGTAGAATATATAATTTTTAATACAAATATAACAGCTAAAAAGTAGAGAATTGATAGTTGTTTATTTTTTGTGATCCTATAAAAAAATCGCTTTATTACTGACCTTATTGCAAGTGGTTCAATAAACTATCACCAATTTGGAACTTATCTATTTCTTTGTTTCTTGGCTGCTATTTGTTTTCTCTCTAGATATCCCTGTATGTGTTGATTTATAACTTCTATTTATCATATATTTGTTTTTTTAGAGTTTCATTGGTAGGATCAAAATAAATAAACTACCAATAGTTTTTTATTTTTAGTCGTTAGATTTGTATTAAAATTTTTTTTATTCTCTCTATTTTTTAATATGATACGATTTTAATTAGATTTAACGGTCAAAAATTAAATCCTATCAGTAAAGAGGTTCATTGACTATGAAATCTTTTTTCTTAAAAGCAAAAAAAAAAAAGTTATTAATGATCCATGGGATTTAATCATACTTGAAATAGCGGGCCAATGTTTTTCCTTTTTTTTTATACATAAGAGAGATTTTTTAGTACATCAATGTACCAACGTATTAAGATTTTTTAATAATTAAATTTGTATATTTTTAAAATTTTACTTATTTTTATACAAATCTAATAAATAAAAAATTGACATATTAATATATATTAACGTACCATAAAAAAAATCTTTACAAATAAAGCAGAAACAAAGGAAGCGAGTAGGGCTTTCAAATTTGTTATAACTGCCGCAAGTACATCCGTCTGACAAGCAATCAAAGAGAAAAAGTTCTTTGGGCACGTACAAATGCGTGGGTAGTAAACTGGAAATTATTAAAAGTAAAGAAATAATAAACAAAAAGCCAGAGAGCAGTACTCACAGAGCTTTTGAATTTGATACGACGATCCAGTGTATGTAGTTAAATTAGGCATATTGGACGTGCCAACTTGCATAATTTGTTTTGTTTTGTTTTGTTTTCTGTTTGCTTTTTTAGCAAGTATATTTTAGACTTGTTCATTCTATGACTTAAGTGATACTGTTATAATATTTTTTATCATAAAAATTTAAATTTAATTTTTTTATTATAATATATATTTTTTATATACACAACTCATATTTAAGTTGTGTAAATGAACGTACCCTTTGAATCTCATGCTAAAAAACGACCTGAAATCTTTGATTGGGAGGTCCTTAGGGTTTTCGAATTCCTATTTATTTCAACTTGGACAAGTTTTATATCTGGCTAAGGCCTAGGCATATATATAAATTCGCAACTAGTATATATTATTAGAAACTGACTTCTGATCTTTTTTTCTGATGAGAGTCAGGAACAAGCTAAATTGGCGTATACACTGCTGTATTACATTGTTAGGGAGAGAGAGAGAGAGAGAGAGAGAGAGAGAGAGAGAGAGAGAGAGAGAGAGAGAGAGAAATTGTGGATACAAAATAATAGAAGCCGAAATTTTAAAGTTAAAATAAAAATGAAAAGTTACTTTTCAATCCCACTTGCCTTACAGACCACAGGAAGATAAAGCTCAAGATGGAGGGAGGGAAAAAAAATCAATCAGCTGCGCGCCACATTTTTTTCTTTCTTACTTACTTGATTCGCTTGTTTTCAAACAACGCAAAAATCATTTTCACCAACAGAATTATATAATACATAATTATAAATTTCTTTATATATACAAATGATTTACAACGCCATCTGAAAACCAAGCTCATAACAAGAGCTATATTTTTGCTGTAAGTTGTAAGTAACACACAATTGTATTATATCATGGAATATTCATCCTCATCATCACAAGCTTCAAAACTCCAAATGTTTTTCTTCCCATACATATTGGGAGGCCATTTGCTACCCATGATAGACCTAGCCAGAGTCTTCGCATCCCATGGCGCCAAAGTCACCATCGTCACCACCCCTCACAACGCCCTTCTCTTCCAAAAACCAGTCGACCGCGACCGAAACCTCGGCCTGGATATCCTCTTCCACACTCTCGATTTCCCCGCCGAGGAGTTTGGCTTACCGGACGGCTGCGAAAACGAGCTCAACACCACCTCCGGAGGAATGTTCGCCAAGCTTTTTAAGGCCACCATGAACCTCCAAAGCCCTCTCGAGAAGCTCCTCCGTGAGACAAGGCCCGACTGCCTCGTCTCCGACAGGCTCTATCCTTGGACCGCCGAGCTGTCCAACAACCTCGGAATACCGAGAATTGTGTTCGACGGTACGGGTTGTTTCTCCCATTGCGTGGAGGAGAGTATCAGGCGCTACGCACCCCACGAGAATCCGCTACTCCCCGACACCGAGCCCTTCGTCTTGCCCGGCCTGCCGGACGTTATCGAGCTCAAGAGATCGATGTTGCCGGACTACGTCAAGACCGAAAACTTGTTCACGTCGTTTCTCAATGACGCCTTGGAGGGTGAGATAAATAGTTATGGAGTGGTGGTGAACAGTTTCTACGAGCTTGAACGAAACTACGCAGATTTCTTCAGGAACGAAATGAAAAGAAAAACATGGCATATTGGACCTGTTTCGCTTTGCAACAGGGACAATGTTGACAAGCTTGAAAGAGGAATCAAAACCTCGATTGACGAGAATTCTGTCTTGAGTTGGCTTGATGAGAAAAAACCTAGTTCGGTTCTTTACATAAGCTTTGGAAGTATGCCGAGAATCACCCCACTTCAGCTTCTAGAAATCGCACATGGTCTAGAAGCTTCTGACCATCCTTTCATCTGGGTCATTGGAAGAATACTGAAATATTCCAATTCTGAACAAGATGGTGATAACGATGATGATTTACTCCCACCAGGGTTTGAAGAGAGGCTAAGGGAATCTAAAACAGGGCTTCTGATTCATGGATGGGCCCCACAGCTTCTGATATTGGAACACAAGGCCGTGGGGGGTTATATGAACCATTGTGGCTGGAACTCCATAATAGAAGGCGTCACGGCCGGTGTGCCAATGATAACATGGCCATTTGCGTCGGAGCAGTTTTACAACGAGAGGTTTGTGAATGATGTGATAAAGGTCGGGATTTCGGTCGGCAATGAGGAGTACTGGGAGCCATGGAAGGCGCTCCCGAGAGTGACGGTGAAGAGAGAGAGAGTGACGAGTGTGGTCAACCAGTTGATGGCCGGCGGTGAATATTGTAATGAACAACTTGTAGAGATGAGAAAACGAGCAAGGGAGTTTGCCGAGAAAGCTAAGAGAGCCGTCGAAGTCGGTGGTTCTTCTTATTCTAACGTTGATTCTTTCATGAAAGAGCTCGAATCTCGATGTACTCGTCACGGCGGCGGTCGGGATACGGCTAAACGTGATTAGGGGCCTGAGGTAATATGAAAGTATCTTTGTCCGAGTGGAGAAAATGGATTTTTTAGCTTAGTTCCGCTTTAGTAGTTTTGTTCATTGTTTTTAGTTTGAAAAATTCTAAGAATTCTAAGGGAAGAGGTCGGTGGCCTTGCCTATTAATAACTCCTGAGTAGATCAACACACTAGTTCAACATACAAATGGTTGGCAAGACATCTCGAACATTACTCTGTCTAAGTGATTTTGGTGGTGTTTCGTTTTGCTCTGTACTTGTGACAATTCTGTCCGTGTGTGTGTGTGATTAGTTATAATCTGGGTAATTTGCTTGAGCTGAAATCGTCAACACCCCACAAATGTGGATATTGAATTTTCTCTGTCAAACACTGGGAGATGGTCCCATATCCAATTGGCAATAATTGTCCAGCTTGTATTGGTTTTCATTTTGCAATCAAATTTTGTTTGTGGGGTTTGGGATCTTTCAATAAATATGGTCTAGATAATTACTACTCTTGGAGAGCCCCGTTGTGTCTAATCATCGAACTTATAAGTCAATATAGGCAGTTGAGAGTACATTTATAACAAAAATAAAAAAATATATTTAAGAGCATCACTAATATTAAGTACCATCACTAATAAAAAATAAATCTCACTTATGAGTCTTATATTGCGAGACTCACCTCCTTAAAGGATAATAATATTGAGATATAGTGCTCTTTAATTTCGGGTTTCTAGAGCGGAGTAGCTAGGGTTTTGCCTAGCTAGCTAGCCGGAGCACAACTTATTAGTGCTGGAACTTTGGACGGGCCGCCCGCGACCGCCCAAAAAGCCTGAGTTTTTGCCCGAGCCCGAGCCCGAGCCGCCCGAGAAATTTGGGCCGCCCGCCCGAGCCCGAATTTCACCTTGAACGGGCCGCGGGCTTGTATTAGGCGGCCCGAGCCCGCCCGAATTGCCCGAATTATTTAAACTTTTTTTTAATATTAAGTTATTTTGTGTTAAAATTTATATATATATTTATATATATTACAATTTGAAATTTGAAATGAACACACGAACTATATAAAAAAATTCTTTCTTTATTAATTTTTAAATTTATAATTCATGATTACCTTATTAAAAACTTTATCAAGAAAAACCCAATTGGGATAAAAACTTGGCAAGGAAAAAAGAGTGCAATCATATTGTGACGAATTACAAATTTTACAAACTTACAAAGTTATACAATTACAAATACAATGTCAAAGGTAAATACATATTTACAAATTACAAATTTACAATTTAATTTAAAGCTAAAGGATCGTCTTCAAAATTAAATGTTAATCGATTAAATTCATCGATCCATTATTGGCTTGCCGGTGAAATTGTATCTTGTAAATGTTGATCGGCCCGATCCCAATCCTTAATGCAAACCAAGGCTTCAATCAACATTGAGTGACTGGTCTTTTAAAATAGAGATCATCAAATAGCGATGAAGTTATTAAACCAAACCAATCATTGAGTGACTTTTGATAAATTATCAATTTACTTTGGTATGTAAGTAGAAAGTTACTTTGATATAGAGTCACAAAGAGAGTGAAGAAAGTTGAAGAAAAAAGAGGATAATTAATAGGATGAGGAGAGATTGTGAATAGAAAAATAGATAAAGATAGAAAGAAAAGTGATATATAATAGAAAAATATGAGTATCTATAAGAACAAAACCAGCATTATATAGAAACAACACTTTTTAAAAATAAAAAACAATAAAAACGTGATGGTAATGTGTTTCTTTCCTTGTGTATATTATTTTTTGAGGAATCATTTTATCATGTGATTGATTATAAAAAAGGGTCAAGAATGTGAAAACTGAAATATTAAACTGCTAAAATAGGAATTTGCTCTTTCTATTAAGGAATTATGTATTTACCTTAATTATAAAGTTAAAAATTTAAATAACAAATATGGGCATTGGGTCTAGTGGTATGATTCTTGTTTTGGGTGTGAGAGGTCTCGAGTTCGATTCTCGGAATGCCTCAATTTGTAGCAACTAAAATTTTCGGGCGGTTTTGGGCAACTCGGGCTTCGGGCAAAATTTGGGTTTTTGGGCTTATTTTCGGGTCGGGCAATTCGGGCGGGTCGGGCATGGTCGGAAAATTCAAAAAAATTCCGACGGACGGCGGCGGGCAAGAGAGTTAGTGTCAAATTCGGGCTGCCCGAGCCCGAACCCGAAAATCTAGCTTGAGCGGGCGGGAGATGGGCTTGCCCGCCCGAGCCCGAAAAAATTCGAGCTTCGGGCAGCCCGCCGACCCGAACTTCCAACACTGCAACTTATTTAAAAATCCTCATCAATTCATCCTTAATTTAGACCATGACACCATATTCGAGTTATATATTATTAGCCTATAATTAGCACCAACTCTTTAAAGGATAATAATATTGAGATATAGTCACCTTATAATTGTATTCTTTATCACATTACCTCAAGCGTCAATATATACTAGTGCAATAATATATTCCTAATCTTTCTTGAGCAAGAAATATATATATTTCTAATTTTCTAGAATATTCTACGCATGCATGTCAGTAATTTAGTCTTCTTTTCGCTTTTCAAGTACTAGTGATCCGTGAGAGAAATATGATTATTTATTGCTATTACTGCACAGGCTGATCTCGCAGCTTGATTATTATATATCTAGTGTCACTGTAACAAAAAAGATTATTTAAGATGATAGCTCGCGGCAAAAAACTCGACGTAAATAATTTTTAAATCTCGTCACGAATTAGTTATTATAAATGTTTCGTTAAATAAGTCGTTGATGATGGTGTGTCTTAACTTATTTACAGTGATTATGTGTCATCGTAAAAATATTTTAAAACTTTTACGACCATAGACTTCGAAGTGTTGTCGCTAATAATGTAAACTATTTGCGATGATGATTTAAATATATCGTCGCAAATATTTTTTTTTCTTTTTTTTTTCCATTCTTTACTAATAATATTAATTATTGAATATATAAATTAGAAGAAAATTTAATAATAAAATAGAACAATGAAATTGATATTTATTAATAAAAAATTGATATAAAATAGTCAATACAATAATAAAATCAGTTCAACTCAATAATAAAATCAATCTTAAAAAGTAAATTAATCATTAAATAATAAAAGTGTTGATAATAAAAAAACATATATTTTAATCATCTAAATTAGCAGCATCATCGTCCTCGTCCTTGTCTTCTCCATTTAGCTCAGGCCGCGGAGGAACTAACGGTTGGGGACAGTTAACTGGCAAGAAGTTGATGTTGGGATTCATCGAGCGCATAACTTCCATCATGATCTGCTGGTTGTCAAACATGTTGCATTGTTCGATGCAGAGGTTGTTCAGCTAGTTTTGGACATACTGAGGCAAATTAACCGAAGACGACCCATCCGATTACGAACCATATGTTGAGGTGGAAGTGCTTGAACGATTCCTCCGTGGTAGTGTCGGTCCAACTCCCTTAGTGTGTCCTCTGTGCTTGGCCATGACTTGGGACATAATCCCCTCCTCATTGACCGCCGTGGCAGATGAACGTTCGCCAACAGACTGTGTCATCTACGTGGTTCTTTCCCCCTCAATCTGAGCCTGCAAAGATATATGAAATAAAAATAAATAAAAATAGTATAATATGTTATGTTAAATATGAAAAAATAAATAAATTTAAAATTCACTTACAAATGCCTGGTCAGCGTTCGGATTGACAAAATTTGGCCTATGACAGTGCATGTCACCGCAATTGTCAATTAATGATCTTGGCTGCTAGGTCATGGGGTTTTTCTAATCAAGTTGAATGTGTTAGAATAATTATTAAGCAAAAGTGACAAAAACTTAACAAGTATGCAAATTAGTATTACCTTGTCGAAACGATGCTGGGAGTATGACTTTCTACCATGCAAGCTAGACCATTTCTGACTGCCGCGGTTTTATTAATTTGTAGCAGATTTTTTCTAGTAATGATTATAGATGAATTAATAACATACTTAATAATTAAATAAAATAATAAAAAATAAGAAGATATAATGAAATTGAACCTGAAAAGCATGGGACATAAAACGATCGCAACAAGGTCCCCATTGCTCTTTTTTTCCTCAAGTTGTTAGGAGGATTTTGCCTAACAAAATCTTCCTTTTCTGCCCTTCCCATCGTCTGAAAGTGTTTGTGCAAGGTAGTCTTCTAGTCCTTATAACATTTACTGGCTTCACGATCGACTACATCTCTAATGATGTCATTGTCGCGGTTTTAGTCGAGGTTAAACTAAACCTGTGACACATTAAAAAATTAACAAATAAATTTTATATATTGTATTTAAATAAATTTTCAGAACAAATTTTGTTTCAAATAAATACCAGTATGCGATTTTGAATCCTCTTTTTGTGCTCCTCAGGCATGTCCTTCGAGGCATTGTAGTGTGGGTCATAGATATCCTTGGTGTGCAAGCCGACAACACTGTAAAAATATGGGCCGTTTTCGCCAATCGCCTTCCATGTACTGGCCTCGTCAAACAAGATAGAAAGCTTCCTCTCTCTTTGTACCTTCTCCACTATATCTCGACCTAGAGCTGCCCCTCGACTAGGTTGACGTCGAGGTGTCGTCTCTGGAACTGTAAAAAAAATAAAAATAATGAAATTTGATCATAAAGAGTTCGAGGAATAAAAAATACCATTCTTGTGTTATAGCATATAATACCTAAGTGACAATGTGTCGGGAGTCTCGTCAGATCAAGTGAAGACTGTGATCTTCCTACAGAGCCGATACATGTAGCTATTGGGCTGGACATCGTGACTCTGTGTCGTATAGAAAAATAGAACTTTATTAGCTACTTTATTTCTTACTCAATTTCTTAACAAATATATAAAAGAATTCATGAATATAAATTAACTATTTTATATCTATTCATTGTCACTACTAATGTCTTCAACATCATCGGCATTCTCTACATCGTCATCATCTTCAGACTCGACGAGCTCATCTTCGATATAGTCTAATATAGTTTTGTCATCACCGTCATCAATAAAGTCATCTTTAACATGTGACTTGTCGCGCAAGTATGTGTCAACATTAGACGTGATAATATTTATTTTGACATCAGGCCGATCAAATGTTAAGTTGTATAGTTCAGGTAGTTCAGCTACTAACTCAACATTTCGTGATTCTGTGTCTTGAACTATCATGACCTCGTCGACGTCCTCTTCTGGAAAATTCCATATATGTCTATGCCTAAAATGTTCCACAACTTTCCAATTCGGATCGTTAAATAAATCATCAACGTAAAAAACCTGTTATGCCTGGGAAGCTAAAATTAATGGTTTATTCTCATACCACGAGTCCTTAATAAAGATACGTATTCTATTCTTGTATTGTTGAATTCTTCTTCTTTCTGCCCGAGTGTCG